AAGGTCCTTTTGGCACTAATGGAATATCAGTTCTCCTTCCAATACTTAACCCTCGACCAAGGGCAACGATAATCAGCCCTAAACTATGGCAGTGCTGGGATCTTGCTGTGCGCCAATTCCCTGCTCGCTCCCTGCATCACTGCACTTTAAAAGTCATGCTTTGACCTCTGGGCGACTGGCAATGGCGAGAGGCGTTATGTGTCAATGCAAGCTCTTGTTCCCTGCAACCCATCCGAACACCACACTGACCGAGGGATTGCCCAGCACGGGGGTGTGCCCACTTACCCGAGGGCTTCGCGTGGAAAAGTCATACATGGATGAAATTCCCACCAACGCGTGCTCGCCCCATGCTGGCGTCGGTTTATTGAGCGAGTCGTGTTGGACTGAGGTTAAGTGATGGGGAGTTTGGGAAAGATTTGAATTGGAGGCACTGGGGAAAGTGGAACCAGTGTGCGCGCTCAGCGATATTTTCCTGGAAGGGAGGTGGGCTATTTGAGAAAATGAATGGCAGGACTCACCCTCATTGAGGTCACTGGGATACCAGGCGGTGCTAAGCTGCACTGTGAAGTAGGGAGCCCAACACAGCACATAGGCGAGCACGATGACCACAGCCATTTTCACCGTCTTGTTCATCGCCTTTGAGATGCAGTTAACGTTGCTGGCTCTGGAGTGCACTCCCTGGCTCTCTGTCAGCTCGGATTGCTGGTGAGTCTTGGTGTAAATGTTCAGTCGAATCACCGTGCAGATCTTGACCTGGCATATGGTGAGGACGACAGTGGGGATGAAGAAGATGGCCATGAAGATCCAGGTCACGTAAGCCTTGAGTCCCCAGGGCTGGATGAACTCGGCCCAGCATTGCAGCACCCCAGGGGCCACCTCGGTCCTGGAGAAGATGAAGAGTTGGGGGACGCTCAGGGCCAGGGAGAGGAGCCAGCTAGCTCCGATGGCCGGGTTGCAAAACGCCTTTCTCTTCTGGAAGGTCACCATGGGATAGCAAACGGCCTGGAAGCGGTCCACCGTCATCGCCACCGTCACGTAGGTCGAGGCGAACATACCGACCAGCTGCAGGTAAGCCACCGCCCTGCACAGCACATCTGGCCCCAGGAAGACCTCGGTGCTGTCCCAGATGAGCTGCGGGAGGACCTGGAAGACGGCGACCACCAGGTCGGCAATGCTGAGGTGCATGAGGAAGACGTACATGCGGCTCATTCTCCTTCTCCTGCTCCACAGGAGCCGGACCAGCACGCTGTTACCCACCGTGGCCGCTACAAAGATGATAGCCAGCACTGCAATCTCCGCTTGGGCCAACTGGTCGTCCCGCTTCGGGATGCCCCGGGACTCTAAGTCACCTGTGGCGTTCGGGGAGATGTACCACCCGCTGTGGATCGCAGCCTCATTCAGGACCAGGGACAAGTTCTTCATCGCTTCTTGAGATAACTTTATTCCTCTAACTCGGTGTGTGTGTGTGTGTGTTGGTGAGCGCTGGCGACCCTTTCCTCCTCAGCTCGACTGTGAGTGCCCAATATCCATCAATATGGTGTTGCAGTCCCTTCTCCCCATCCGTGATGTTGCAGCGCCGGGCAGCTCCTTCCGTCCCTTCCTCTCACCCAGGGCAGGATGCCAGCAGCTCTGAGGACCAATCATTTTAGTGCCCCCCACCCCCACCTCGATTCTCTTCTCCTGCGGCCGCGAAGGGGTTTTAGAGACACGGCTCCGGATCGAGAGGAAATTTCAGAGCCAAGATGTACCAATCGGCGCGCAGAGTAAACGGGTAATTTAAGCCCCCGGGAACCTCACCTCGGTGTGGGCTGGGGGATATGGGAGGTGGGGGTGGGGGGGAGGTTGGAAATCGCAGATTAACGGGAGAAAACGAACGGATTGATTGGGCACTAATTACTGTTGAATTTCGATCTCATTCCTGCTGATGAATCGCACTCCGGCAGGTTAGCTAGCAGTCCGTGGCATTGAGTTGGTCAGTTTCTTCTTCCCCGTGGGTTTCGCTTCAAATGCAGCCGAAGTGCTCGCAATAATGGCAAATGTACTCACTTTGACTCACGAAAGGTCTGCATTGTAATTTTCACATCTGTGGAAACGGGGTTCTACTTGCGCAGATCATTGCCACAAGTGTACAGCTGATTTCTGCTAAAGCTCCCCAAATAATGGAACTCGTATATCATCTCACTGATTGTGATCGTTTCCTTGCTTCCATAAAATTTTGGGAAATGAAATTAAAATGTTAACTGTGCGTGCGAATAGCCTTTTGCCTTCATCTGTTTTACGCTTCTCTAATGCAAGGATTTAATTCCTTCTTCTTAAAGCTTTTTGGATTACCACTGAGCTTCCGGACAAATATATATTATTGCAGGGACACCGGCCTCAACAAAGTCGGACAAGGCGAGTGGGAATAATGGGCAAACGAAGGATGGCTCAAGTATTACCGAGGAAACAATTTGCAAAACTAAAACCTAGCAAGTGCAGATTAAAATGCAACAGGTTAAGTGCGTGTGCATGCATGTCAGACAGAATTTACAGTGGATCTGGTGTCAGTCAGCGGGCACATTTGAGAGGATTGATTGCTTGTAACGTTATCACATTTAGTCCTTGGTCGTTTTTTTTCCTCCCAATCCTGATCTTGTCTGCAGCAACCCAGCAAAAAGCAAACGGTGGGTCTCTTTGACGGCGTTCCTCGTATTTTGATGAAAATAATTTTTTCCTTCTTCGACGTAAATGAGAAATCCCCCAGAAATGGTAACCACAAACCTAGCATCGACTGGCACAAAATCCCATCTGGTCCACTTACGTCCTTCGGACAAGGAAATCTGCTACAAAAACGAAGTTGCTGGAAAAGCTGAGCAGGTTTGGCAGCATCTGTGAAGGAAAAAAAGAGTTAACGTTTCGGGTCCGGTGACCCTTCCTCAGAACAGTTCTAAAGAAGGGTCACCACACCCGAAATGTTAACTCTGTTTTTTCCTTCACAATGCTGCCAGACCTGCTGAGCTTTTCCAGCAACTTCTGTTTTTGTTCCTGATTCACAACATCCGCAATACTTCCGGTTTTTATTAAGGAAATCTGCTATCCTTGCCTGGCCTGGCCTAGGTGTGACTGCACGACAACAATATGGTTAAGTCTTAACTGTCCTGTGAAATGACACTAGCAAGCCACTCAGTTCAAGGGCACTTAGATAAGGGTAACAAATGCTGGTCTTACCAGCAATACCACATCTCATTAAATAATAAATGTTTTTTAAAAAAGTACAGAACTAGACAATTACTGAAAAAGACATACTTTGACAAGTGTTTTCGTCTTGTACTCATCAGAACAATTCACAAGAATATCAACATAAAGCAGAACTACATTTTATACTGTATGAGACAGTTGGCAAGTGAACTCAGAATGGTAGAGATATGACCAGGCAGAATGCACCCTGAGTGGTGGAGGAAGCAGTCTTGGGGGCTGCTTTGTCCTGGATGGTGTCAAATGTCTTCAGTATTGTTGAAGTTGCACCCATCCAGGCAAGTGGGGAAAATTCCATCATACTTCTGACTTGTGCCTTGTCAGGAGTCAAGAGGTGAGTTACTCACTGCAGGCTTCCTAGCCTCTACCCTGTTCTTGCAGCCACAGGAATTATATGACTAGTCGAGGTCAGTTTCTGGGCAATGTTAACTCCCGGGGTGTTGAGAGAGGGAGATTCATTGATGGTGATTCCATTGTATGTCAAGAGGTGATGATTAGTTTCTCTCATGTAGGAGAAGGGTATTGTCTGGCATTTTGTGTGTCCAAATGTTACTTTTCACTAGTCAGCCCAAGCCTGAATATTACACAGGTCTTCCTGCATTTGGATGTGGACTGCATCAATATAAGGAGTTGCAGATGGTACTGAGATTGTGCAATCATCAGTAAACATCTGACTTTATGACAGAGGGAAGGTAATTAATGAAGCTGATGAAGATGTCCTTGAGCTGAGATGACTATCTTCAATCATCAGAGCCACCTTCCTATGTGCTAGATATGACTCCAAGCACTGGAGAGTTTTTCCTAATTCCTATTGACTCCAGCTGTGCTACAGCTCCTCGATGCCATATTCAGTCAAATGCAGCCTTGATATCAAGGACTGTCAATCCCACCTCACCTCTGCAATTCAGCGCCTTTGTCTATGCTTAGACCAAGGTTGTATTGAGGTCAAGTACTGAGTGGCCTTAGCAGAACCCAAATCAAGTGTCAGTGAGCAGGTTAGTGCTGCTTGATAGCACTGTTCATGCCACTTTCCATCACTTTACTGATTATCAAGCATAGACTGATTGGGCACTAATTGGCCAAGTTGTATTTGTCCTGCTTTTTGTGTACAGGGCATACCTGGGCAATTTTCTACATTACTGGATAGATTGTATCAGCATTGTAGCTGTACTGGAACAGCTTAGCTGGAGGTGTTGAAAGTTCTGGAACACAATTCTTCAGGACTATTGCCAGAGTATTGTCAGACACCATAGCCTTTGCAATATTCAATGCCTCCAATTGTTTCTTGGTATCATGCAGAGTGAATAGAACTGGCTGAAGATTGGCATTTGTAATATTGGGAACTGCTGAAGGAGACTGACATGGATCATCCACTCGGCACTTCTGCCTGAAGATTCATACAAATTCTTGAGCCTTCTCTTCTGCACTGATGTGCTGGGCTCCCCATAATTGAGGATGGGCATGGATGTTTGTGGACCATCCTCCTCCAATGAGTTGTTTAATTGCACTACCATTGATGACTAGATTCAGGATTACAGAGTTTAGGACTGAACTGTTGGTTGCAGACTCGCTTAGCTCTGTCTGTCATTTGCTGCTTATGCTGTTTGGCACATCTAAAGTCCCATTCTGTAGCTTCACCAGGTTGACATCTTATTTTTAGGTATACCTGGTGCTGCTCTTGACAAGCCCTTCTGTAATCTTCATTGATCTCCTAGCTTGATGGCAATGGTAGAGTTGGGAATATGCTGGACCATGAGGTTGCAGATTGTGTCGGTGTATAATTTCCACGTTGCTGATAGCCCACAGTGCTTCATGGAGTTTTGGGTTGCTACCTTTGTTCAAAGTCTATCCCACTTAGCATGATGATAGTGACACATGACATGATGGAAGGTATTCTAAATGTGAAGACAACTTCATCTCCACAAGCATCATGCACTAGTCATTTCGTGTTCAGAGGCAACTGTGGTAGGCAGATTGGTGAGGATGAGGGCAAGTATGTTAACCCATCTTGTTGGATCCTTCACTACCTGTTACAGACCCAGATTAACAGCTATATCCTTTAGAACTTGACCAGCTCATCAGTAGTGATGTTGCTGAGCCACTCTTAGTGGTGGATATTCAAGTACCCCACCCAGAGTGTATTCTGCACTCTTGCCACACTCAGCACTTCCTCTAAGTGCTGTTCAACATGGACTGGTCCTGATTCATCAGCTTGGGAGGGGAGAGGGCAGTATGTGGTATTCAGCAGGAGGTTTCCTTGCCCATGTTACACCTGAACCGTGAAATTTCATAGGGGCCAGAATCAATGTTGAGGACTCATAGAGCAGCTCCCTTCCAATTGTATGGCACTGTGTTGGCACCTCTGCTGGGTCTATCCTGTTGGTAGGATAAGACATACCCAGGGAGGGTGATGGTATTGTCTAGGATTTTGTGTGAAAGGCATGATTCTATGTAAAAGACTCTTTCAATTTTTGCATTTGCCCCTATCCCCCATGTAAATAAGGAACATTTTGCAGGATTAACAGGGCTGTGCTTACCATTGTTGTGCCCAGTGCCTTTTCTATTGCCAGTTGGCCCATCCAGTTCCATTCCTTTTTCCCTTTATGGGAGTTGATCCAACTGAATGGTATGCTGGGCCATTTCAGAGGGCAGTTAAGAGTCAAGACTTTGCTGTGGGTCTGAAGTCACGTGTAGGCTAGACCAGAGGAGAAAAGCAGCCTCCTTCCCTAAAGGATATTTGCGATTGAATCTTAAATAACTTAATAATTCAGTCTCTACAGTTAAGAATTCCACAAATTCATTGCCTCCAAGAGAGGAAATTGCTCCTTGTCAATTGTAAATGGTTGATCTCTTTCTCTGAGATTATGCCCTCTGGTCCTAAATGCTTCTAACTCCCCACATTTATCCTGTCAAACCCTCTAAGAATTTTATATTTCAATAAGGTCTCCTCTCATTTTACTAAATTTCAATGAGTACAAGCCCAACTGACTCAATCTTTCCTCACAAGAAAATCCTTCCAGCCCAGGATCAACCTAGTGAAACTTCTCTGGACTGTCTCCAAAGCTAGGACTTTTTTTCTTTGATAAGGGACCAAAACTGTTCATGGTATACTAGCTGTGGTCTGACCAGTGCCTTGTACAGTTTTAGCCAGACTTCCCTAATTTTCGTACTCTTTGAAATAAAGGCCA